CCCCAAAACCCCAAAACCCCGTTTAATCATGTAATCAATAAAATTTAGAGAAATTATATTAAAAATGATCACAAATTTATTAAAAAGAAAAGACTTAACTTAAAAAGTCTACAGATAAAATTAGATTTCATCCTAGATTTTAAAGCAATAGGTTTCATCCTTTTCCTACAAATTCCAAGATATTGATAAAAAGTGGCAGTAAATTTGGTAATAGTAGCAAAAATAAAAATAGCTAGAAAATAAAGGAAATAATGAGAGTAAAAAGATGTATATTTTAGGGTAATTTCCCTATCCTTCTGGAAATATTCATATGGGGCATGTGAGAGTCTATACAATTTGTGATGTGCTTACAAGATACTATAAACTTAAAGGTATGAATGTAATTAATCCGATGGGATGGGACTCGTTTGGATTACCAGCTGAAAACGCTGCAATTAGTCGAGGTATTTAGCCATCTGATTGGACAGTGAAAAATATATAGGAAATGAAAGACTAATTACATAGACTTGGTTTTGATTTTGATTGGGATAGAGAGCTTGCAACTCATACACCAGAGTATTATAAGCACACTTAGTAGATCTTCCTTGAGTTATACAAATAAGGTCTTGCTTATAAAAAAGATGCATAAGTAAATTGGGATCCAGTTGATCAAACAGTGCTAGCTAATGAATAAATTGATGATAATGGAAGATCATGGAGGTCTGGGGCCCTAGTAGAGAAAAAAATGCTTAAGCAATGGTTCTTCAACATCAGGAAATACGCTGATTAAATGCTAATTAATTTGGATAAATTAAATAAATGGCCTGAAATTGTAAAAGAGGCCTAAAGAGGATGGATAGGTAAAAGTGAAGGGGCTATTGTAGAATTTATGATTAAACTTATAGATGGTAATTAGATTCCAGTCAAAGTATTTACAACAAGACCTGATACCATCTTTGGCGTTACTTTTTTAGCATTATCATTTGAAAATCAAATCATTAAAGAAAACATTCTCAAAGACAATATGATCGATTAGAATGCATTTGATAGATACCTTGATAAAATTGATAGATTAAAATAATAAGGCAGAGATTTAAAGTAGATTGATATAAACAATATTGATGAAGGGGTCTTGTTTAGGAATATAAAAGCTATTCATCCTTTAACTGGAGATGAGATACCTGTTTATGCTACCTCTTATGTATTTAATGAATATGGTACAGGCTCTATTATGGGTGTTCCATTCCATGATGATAGAGATTGTGCATTCGCAGTAAAGAATTAAATTGATATGATATAGGTCATTAATGGAGACGAGGAGAAAAATTTAGATGAATGTGTGCTCGTAAATAGTGGTGAATATTCCCAGTTAAAGGTTAAAGAAGGAGTTCAAAAGATCATAAGTTAGCTTGAAAAATTGAATAAAGGCTAGAAGTAAACTGAGTATAGGCTAAGAGACTGGCTTGTTAGTAGATAAAGATTCTGGGGAGTGCCTATTCCAGTAATATACTGCGAGAAATGTGGTGAAGTTCCTGTACCTGAAGATTAACTACCTGTATTGCTACCAAACGTCTCTGGAAATACAGATAACTTGAAATAGAGTTCTCCACTTTCAAGGATTGACGAGTTTTATAATTGCAAGTGTCCAAAATGTTAAGCACCATCCTAAAGGGAAGCTGATACCTTAGATACCTTTGTTGATTCATCTTGGTATTTTTTGAGATTTCTGGATCATTAAAACAATTTGAGTATGTTTGACATTAGTAAAGTTAAGAAATGGATGCCCGTTGATATCTATGTTGGAGGTATGGAACATGCCATTATGCATCTTTTATACGCTAGATTTATACATAAATTCCTATGTGACTCATAGAATATTTCCTAAGAAAAGTTCCAACTAGATATAATCAGAGAGCCTTTTAGAGAATTGGTAGTCTAGGGTCTTGTAAAAGGTAAGACTTATAGACTAAAAGATAATGGAAAATACATATTTCAGGAAGATCTAAAGCAATATTCGGAAGACTAATTAAAGATAACCTTTGAAAAAATGTCTAAATCAAAAGGAAATGGAGTGCTTCCTGACTCAATGGCAGAGAAATATGGAGTTGATACACTTAGATTATCTTTGATGTTTGCAGCTCCTCCAGAAAGCGATGTTAATTTCGATGAAAACTTCATATAGTAAATGAAATCTTACCTTGATAAGGTACAGAGGATATCTGATTATGTCATAGCTAGCTCAGATTTTAAAATCCTAACTAAGGTTGAAATTCAAGAAAAATACAAGAATGAATTGGTTCCAATTTATAAACTTCTGGTTGATTATAAAATTAAAATTGAGGATTAGAGATTTATACATGTCTCAATTGCAAGGCTGATGGAGCTAACAAACCTATTGTCTAAGATAAAAATTGACAATGAGAGAAATCTTAATACATTCCTACTAGGGTATGCCTATTTGATCTAAGCACTTTATCCTATTGCACCTCATTTATCTAATGAGATTTGGCAAGGAATATCCAAGACAATAGAAATAATTGGATTCAATGTAAATCTCAGTGATAATAGATTGGATGATTTCAGGCAGCTTTTATCCTAAAGTGAGGAGAAAGTAAAGATTAAAATTAATATGGACGGTAAATTTTTAGGACAAATAGATATTCCTAAAGAACTTATTGGCTAATCTTAGTAAATTTTAGATTATATTAGAGAACTCAGACCAAGCAATTAGGAGGTAAAGAAAATAGATGACATCGTTTCAAAAGAAAAAGTAGAATAGTTTGTAAAGGTGATATCCTTCAATGATAAACCAATAATTAACTTTATTACGAAATGACTAATCAGCTGAAAAATTTACTATTTAAGTTTTAATTTCATAAACTTCAACTTAAATCTTAATGGCTACACATCCTTATTTTAATTTTAATTCCTATAGAAATATTGGCAATATCTGCATCTAATTATAATCAATTGCGTTCGATATCTCTTCCCAGAGTCATTAAGATGAACATTAAAAAGTATAGCATAAAGTAAAGCACTATTGCGTAAAGTGACATTTGATCTTTTTTAAAGAATCTATTTCCTACTTGCATATCAATGTATAGGAGTCCTGGACCTGTGACATTGACAAATTTGCTTCTTGAAGAAAAATTTTAAACAACTCCATTTCCTAAGTCCCTTTGGATTGAAACAGTTTGACTGAAAGCAACTAAGCATTCTGGTCTTATCTTTATCTTCTCATTAGCTCCGAGAGTTTTTTCAATAAAGTTAGATTGACTCTACAAAAATATTAACTCTTATGAGGGCAAAGATAAGTCTCTAAACTTTTCTGATACAGTTTTCTCCTCAGTACTTTGACTAGAATGATTAGGTTATATTCCTTTTTGTTTTGTTATTCCAACTTCCGCTTTTCTTGATTTAATCTATTTCAGTCCATTTGTTCTATTTTCCCCATGATTCCAAAATCTATTTGATAAAACATAAATTATTTAAACAATAATTACTGCTGGGTATAAGGACTTAACTCAATATTATAGGTGTGAGCTAACACGTATTTTTCCTTAACAACCATTTTTTCAGTCACTTCATTGTCAATTATAATCACTCTGCCTTTCATTACTTGTAATCCTACATATCCTATTGAACCTGAATCATTCTTTATCTCAAGACAAACTTCCTGTCTCTTTAATGCTATCCAGTTACTAATTAAAAAGAGTAAAGACCCACTCATCAAATTTGATCTTACTATAATCTAAGTAACCAAGAATTAACTATATTTCTTGATGTAATGTTATCACTAGAGAATAGAGTAGCATCCTTCTTAGTAATCACACTTTAGCCAGGCATGAGCACAAGTTATAATGTCTGCCTTTCTCCTCCCAGTATTTGATAACTCACTGACTCTTGATATCTTTTTTGGTTGATCAGTTCATTCATTTTTAATAGTTTTAGTTCAAATTTGCAATTAATTTAAAGTAAGGAGTAAAAATCATAATATTCAACCTAAATTTTATAAAATTAATCATTATACTAATTTTAACATAAACATGTAAGTTCCCACTCGCTATATTTATTCCACTAGTTACCTGAAATTTTACATATTCAAGTTAATTCAAATTCTTTCTTTAGGACACAAAGAGTTGATAATCTCATAAAGTCACAGGATGAGATTGAGCAAGCAAGGTTTGATATGTTTGAATTCAAGTAAGCTTATAATGAAATTATAGAAATGGTTTAAAATACTCTAAATAAAGTAAATAACACTTTTGCTTATTTAATGGCTGTTTTTAGTTTTTATCATTTGAAGAAGCAGCTGAAATAAATGTATAGATTGCAGATACGAATCTAAAACTATCCAAAGTAGACTCTAACATTGAGAACTTGGCTATCACTCTCTCCAATAAACTTTTTGAGAATAATCAAGAAGAGGATGAGCTAGCCAAATCATTAAAAGAAATAGAGGTGTGTTACAAGAAAAATAAGGACCGTCTTGAAAAAGATTTGAATAAAATGGAATATAAAATCACCTAGATTAGGGATACAAGGGAGAGAATATCACTCAAGCATATTAAAAGCTTAGATATTGTTGAGAAGTTTGTGCACAAGGTCATGCCAAACAACCTTACTGACAGCTAAATAAAAATAAATAAGAGCAAAATTGAGTAAAGTAAATTAAGAGTTGGTAATGAATCTGAGCGAGATGGTGCTTAAATGAGCAGCATTGAATAAATCAGGAATGATTTGGAAAACGATGACATATTTATATTGGGATATAGAGGTGGCTAGACTCAAAACCAATTTGAAACAGAGTATAATTCATAAGCAGAGGAGGAAAAATAGGATGAGAGGATAAAAGAAGATGATGAAGAGTCAGTATTATCAGATGCTGATAAAATTTAGGAATTGAAATCTGAGAAAAAGCGTATCTTAGAGTCTCTTGATGAAAATAAAGTAGCAGACAGAGTTGTAAGTTAAATAATCTTTATACCAAAAATATGCAATTTATCTATTAAGGATATATTAACATCATTTATATAGTTAATTGACCAGCTATATGATATGGAGATCTTAAAGGTGAAGAAATCACTGAGAAAGGAGAGAAACTCTGCAGCGTAGAGTCATAGAAATCAACTTCATGATTTGGAATAGAGGAATAATCTCGTAAATAGCGAGATCTCGAAGGGGTATAAAAGTTAATCACTTAAAAATTCTCAGAAAATAAATTAAAGTAAGCTAAATAGTTAATTATAGATTTAGATCTTTAAGATAATTCTGATGACTTTAGCAGAAATTCTCAGGCATAATTAAATGAAAGCTTAGAATCTAGTAAAAAGCTCAGATAAATAACTAGCACTGCTTATTAAGATTATCAGAATGAACAAGCATCCCAGGTGAGTTCAGCTTAAAGGATTCAAAGTCCAATAAATCCACAAAATAGATTTGTGAAGCTAATTAAATCCGAGTAATAACCATAGAAAAATGTTCACATAGTAAAACCACTTGCTTTAAATCCACAAGTCTTAGTTTTTAATAATTCAAATGAAAAATCTAATCCCTAAATGCAAATCTAAAATATCAAACAGCAAAAACCTTTTGTGCTAAATAAGAAATTTGTTAATCTATTGAAGAAAAACATATAGAAATAAGAAAATGAGGGCTAAGGACATAGTTCATTTATCAATAACAGCGGACCAAATAACTTCAATACAAACACGAGTAATAACAGCAACAGTTTCAGCTATAGACAATCAAATAACCCTAATAGTGGGGTTTAATCAATAATCATTCCTAAGTTCAATCAAGTTGTAATTAGTCAAATGTCTCCAAAGTAATGATCTAATTTATAGAAGTTTTCAGTTTCATTTTCGCTTCTTTGATTATGATTTGATTACTATTAATAGAGTTATTTTAAGATCTTTTTCATTTCATACCATTTAGTGATGACGGGGTTTTGGGGTTTTGGGGTTTTGGGGTTTTGGGG